TTCGTGCATGCACACCAAATATCAGAAAGTTTTCTTTGGGTAATAATAAGAGTACATGTAAATATTAAGTCACTATAATTTTTCAAAAAACCCATGAATTGATTTAAAATTTTGCAGGTAGCTTTTTAATAGTAATAGGAATCTATAATAACAAATTCAACATGTTATCATTGTTTTGAAGTATATAGCCTATACATCCTTAAATTGGTTGAAATAAGTTTTGCAACATGTAAAGTGATATGTAAATCGTTGATAAACTTATGAGGTATAACAGGAAAAAAGATTAACAAGCAGTCAAGTATGTAAATCAGTACTGATATTAATTTAATTATCTGTAATTGGCTTCATTGTACGTCATAATCAATGAGCTGTTAACGAAGCAAACATGATCTTGTTCTTGGAATTCCGTTAGTACTCGCCTCGTTTATTTTCATTTTTTCAGCTACATTAGCATACAATTAATATGATCTGTCTAGCATAAATTTAAGTACTTCTCAGTATATAAATGCAGTTACATCATTATATTAAAAAACAGTAATATTGAATGAGGTCATCGTAATTTTAGAAGCATTTTTCATTTCTATGATTTTATGAAATTGTTTCGAAGAATAAAATCCATAGCAAAATTATTGTTTAACTGTTACTATCATTTTAGCAGTTACTATCTGCATTGTCTGCCCATGCTTTCTCTGTGCAACGAATTGCATTGCGTTTTCAATGTCAAGACTGTCAGGAGTCACGAGTGACCACAAGGACAATTAAACAAAGTGAAAGCTCGCCGGAAGTCTCAGTCGGTTTCTCACGATGTCCGCTGTTATACCGCGTAACCGTAATACAAGCGTGACAAAAACCAAAACAAAAACAGAATGAATTCCGTTCCCTCGAGAAACCAATTTACTGCGCTGATTATACCACTATTACGACTGTTTTTCTATTTTCTATCCTAGAAATGCTCCTTTCACTGAGATAATTTCTTCAACTGCACGTTCGGCCCGTTTAATCATATTTTTTTTAGGAATGTTCAGTTATTACGTTGATAAAAGTTTTTTTAGGGATCATCGCAATTATTTCGAAGCATTTCGCTTTCCTGAAAATAATTGAAGAAGAGAAAAGCTAGGTCTATTTAGAAAATGCACATAATATGCCTAATACCATTAAATTGTTAATGGAATTCTAAAATGAGTGTTTTAAGCTATTAATTTGAGTGATTTCAATCATCACGTTTTAATTTTTATAACTTCCTTTAACTACGATTATAATAATTGCAAGAGCTGCTGTATAAACTTCCATAAACAGAAACGGCTTAAACAATTATCATCGAAATTGTTCAGCAATTAAAGTACGATTAAAATCGTACTCATCCACTTGTATGAAGCATGCAAGCGTTATTTATATTAAAGCTACTCGTCCGTTCTGCGTTATCGCCAGTGCGTTACAAAAAATAATAAATAAATTAGTGTGAATGTACGCGCGAACCCTTTCACGAATAAAAATTCTGCGAATGGTAGGTAATGTCAGATCTAGAAATTGAACTGTACGATCTCTGATGGATCGAAGTGTCGATCGATCAGTGAATCGAACGCGGAATTAAAGTGATCGGAGATGGAACGAGTGGTGCGGACGGTTGTTGAACCGCGGGAACTTCATTAAAAGGCTCGTTCGCTCGGTTCTTCTCGGTGGTTACTCGTTGTACGTAGACGGGAGCATCCGGCCGTGGTCAGTGGTCTGCAAGGCCGATGCCCGGAAACCAGATAGTCGGGCGAGATTACGAAACATCATTAATTCAGTTCTCGAAGAGCATCTAGATTACAGAAGAAGTCGTGACCGAGATGACCAACACGTTCTTTTTCTTTTTTCTTCGAAATTACGGTTCATACACGACCACCTTTCCTGTTCCCCCGTTCGCCATCGCGTGATAATTTCATCAAAGGGAGCGTAGAAACCGTACTTCCATTAAAACAAACGCGTACAGAATTGCCCTCCGCCGGAATACAAATTAAAGTATCCTCAAGGCTCCTGCCTCAAGTTTTAATTCAAATTAATAAAAATACATTCAAATTAATAAAAATACAATTCAAATTATTTCATATTATTACGGATAAGATTATTACGAAATACTATACATTTTATAATTCACTCTCTTGGAATTTTATTGGCCTCGGGACTGGTACATCGAGGAATAACTGTGTGGACTTACAACGTCAACGGTGATGTACGTACATCTGTACAATGGTGCGAATGATTAGGATAATAGCTGGGTGCGAATGCACGTGCGAAGACGTTTACTACGAATTGTTTGACAGTGGAGGAACACTCGCGAATATATGCCGAGTGATGCTCCTGTTGCCAACAGAGTGTGTCGGCCACGGTCTTGACTTTTAAGACTGCTAAATGGTAGAGCACACTGAAGATTCGCTGTTCTCATACGACCCGAAATAGGTAACTTAACAACTGGGGCGATAGTGTACTGATTAATAGTTTACAGTTAATTCCTTTTACACGTCAAACAGTTCCATGTATTTGCCATTTTTTGCAATTAGATACCTAGTTTGTTTGATTGCTATAGATTGCTATGAATCATTTTATGATTTTCTCGGAAACAGCTTTCCTTGTGACCCTGGAATGAGTTCAAGGAACCGTGTGATTAGAATTTCAGCCTTTTTTAGCTCGTTTGATAATCGATGCGGGCGGAGTTTTAAGAATCGACCTTCAATAAAATTTCTTAGAAACAATGCAGACGGCTGATCAATAAGAACCGTGCCTAAATAAGACATTAGACACCTTCATTGTCTTTAGGAATGCAAATTGCATTCTTCATGATTCCTTAGAATTATAACAACTTCTCGATAATAAAATAAAGAAAATACCGGAGAAGTCAACAGAATTTCCAAACAAAGGGACAGCCGCGTAGTTAATGACGTGCACTCGCAGCCATGTTTGTTAATCCGAAAAGCGAGGACGTTCTTTGTGTGTGTTTCACTTGGGGAGAGCGCAGAGGAAGTGTTTATGCATGGTGGTCCGTCGAAAATAGACGGTAAGGTCGTGTTTCAAACAGAAAGGGATAGTACGAGAGCCGCGTGACGTCATTTCCTACACCTGCCATGCATGCTTCCGAATGATAACGCCGCACGTGGTATTGACACACCCCTCGTGCCACCGTCTGACAATACGACTGTGTATCCAGTTCACCCTGTCCCGTGTTTCAGTGGTAGAAGGAAAAGAGGATACGTCCCGTGGCATCGTTGCGTGACGCGTCGGCTCGTATTCGCCAATACTTATGTGCATCGTACACCCTAGCCCTCCTCGGTGCACGCAGCTAATAAATTATAACGCTCGCGACGATAATTATTTCGATTCCTGGCTTCAGAAGTTTTCATTTTAATGCCGGCGATACAGTTAGGAAAATTGTTTAACCAAACCGTGCGCCGCCGGCGGAACTTCGGCTGCCTGCGATCGACTTTAACGATATTAATCAAAGGGGGTACATAAAAAGATCGGAATGTTCGTTACGTTCGTGTAACGAGCGTTTAAATTCTATTATAGGTATCTACTTAGTCTCCTCATTAATGATAATCAAATCTTTTGAAGTAATAATTCCTTTAAGGTTGATGCACTATCGTGTATTTTTTATGTCGTGTATATAATGGGAAACTGCGATGCTAAATACAAGATATTGATTAACAGTAATTTTCAATCATAATAGCTTCTTGTAAACTTTGAGATGAACAGTGATTAAGGATTTTTCAATTGAAGAAAAGGAACGCATGTTATACATATATTATGCAATTGTAGAAAAATGTATTTGTTGAACTATGTTCTCAAAGATATCAGTTACATGATATCGATTGCTTGCACACGACTTGTATTACATGCTACATGAAAGCAAGCTAGTGGCTATGAAAATGTCTCCATTTGCAAGTATATACATAATTAAACTTGATTGAAAGAGTGCAAGACACACTTCATTCAACAAGTCATGCAATTATCTTATTCTAATAGGAATTTATTCAATTATTTTACTGATTAATTGAAACAATTAAAAATAATCAACTCTGTTTAAAATGTATGAAAAGAACTGTTCCCATTGAATGTAAATTGATCTTCCGTAATTTGACATTATCTCATTATAATTTTTACATAATTAATAGATGTTAATTGCATCAAATATTCCCTAAGCTCTAATTTATCGTCCTTTATGCTTCAAGCCACGATTTCTGAACGCTTACGTAAAGCGAGATGAGTCCCGTGAGAAGAAATTCACTCGTGGTATGATTGTAAAGAACCCAATCATTTTCAATCATAAGCGAAAGAGAGAAATGATATTTCGTAACGTCATTGTATTATGTGGCACAGGCGAAAATTGATTACGCCCGGTGTCCTGCATTCGAAGTTGCGTCACGATTATTAGTGCTTAATCATTAAATAGTCGTGCATCGCAGAAAATTGAGGACGTCGCTAAACGTATTACGCTAACGAGTTTCAATTTTTAATTTCCAACCGATCCAGAGATATCGCTTTTTGAATTATTACGTGACATCAGACATTGAAAACTAGATGAAGGATCTGTTCTAATTGCATATCAGAAAACTTGCGGAACGCTGCGCTCACGTAATTCCGTGCCACACGTGACGTACGTATTCGCGGCTGTCATTCCGCGGAAGCGTTGCCAAAACTTGTCAAAGATCACGCTGATGCTTTTATAAACTTCTATTTCAATGCGTTGGACTCTACGATATTTGATTGCGAGTTGTGATTACGCTTTTCACAGAATCGTTTCCTGGGTCGTTACTCGGGCATGTTCTTACTTTTTTCAAATTTCCACGTACCTTTAAATTGCACTGAAGTATTTTAATACTTGCACTCTCTAATGTCTTATTCGAACCGATTCTTTTGTACCGAGGACCACGTTTCGGTGAACACTGTGCGTCAAATTGTCCTCGCTAAACTTTCACTGCGGTATCACTTCACTCAGTTCACAGTTTATTTCGCTTTTCTATATGGAAAATCATTTCTATCGTCGATTAAGATTGTAATGACTCGCCGGACGTACAACAGGCGAGAGGTTTTTCTTAAAGAAACTCGTTTCACAGACTGTGTCGACTATCAGCATGTTATTGATAAACCGTGAGGCAGACGAAGCGTGTTCACCTGGCCAGGTGAGCTCCCGCCAGTATACTGAACGTTCGCCTGCTGCAATGAACTCTGTTTACCCACGGCACTCGATCACCCTCCTAACTTCATTTCCACAGGTGCTACAGATTTTCAATGGAATCAATCAACCTGTTTCTACTAGCTAAAGAATTTCCTTTCTGTTTTCACTGTGACGTAAAACATTCTAAGCCTTACAATATTTTAAAAACCATTATGGAAGTAAAAATTGTATTTGAAACGTTTGAGGAAATCTTACTGTCATAACGTAGATGTGAAAATATATTTTTTTAAGAATAAAAATATGTGTACCTAACAAAATGCGTTTGCATTACACCAACGTTCCCATCTCTGACACGAACGAGTGATAGTAAATGAAACAAAATATTCACGTTGGCTATTTGTTTCAATAATGTGTCATGAAGGGTGAAATCGACTATCGACAGTCACGCGTCGATCGCGGAGTTTATAGAACGATCCTATCGGTCACCTGTTCAGGTGGACTCACGACAGTGAACTGAGGGCAGAACCGAAGCAGAACAGAGATCGGTGCCCGGTATTCGTTCTGCGGTGTGAGCACCGGCCGTGCACGGAGCACCACAAAACGTACGGTTGTTCGGAGTTAAACTCAGCCCATCGTGCTCCCCGAGGCATGATTTCTCCCCTTCGCGTGCTCCGGTCACCTGCGTTTCCACACCCGTCCACGAAATTACTACCGAATTCTTACCAGAGAAACTGGAGCATCCGGAGCAGAAGTCACGATGTCAATTGTATTCGATAGGTATTTCAAACGCTTAATTACTCGTGAAAGATCTTTTAGTTTGATACAGAAAGAAAATGTATTAGATGAAACTAGAATTATTTAACGAAACAAACGTTTCTGTTGTTCCTAGAATTCAATGTGCAATTATCCATTTTATTTCATTACGTTTTCACGTAATTGCAAATTTAAATTCTTAAAATTATATCAAGTATCATTTTGAATTTAAATCCAATCACGTTGATAGCTGAAGAATAGTTATAATACATACTTGATAATATCAAACCAGTAATAAAAGACTTATAAAAAAAGCTATTATAAAAAATGGGCTATTATCAGACCCGTCCAACAAACCGCGAAACCAGTTTGAACCTTCGACAAGAATTTTCCTGCTTTATCGTGCGCAGATGTTATCCACGAACACGATAACCTACCGACGCCATCGTTTCCTTTCCCTCGGTATGCAGTCAAGTTAAAGCGAGAACTGCGTAGAAGAAAACGTGTACTTCGTTTACTAACGCACGCACGCAGTAGACGACGTTATCCGTCCCGAATGTTATTCATGCCTTGTTCTCTCCTACTTACCGCATGTTTGGTTCATTGAACCGCTCGTTACAGCCACTGCTATTTCGTCAACCGCGTTTAGATGTCGCGTACTGTGTCCCCTTGTTCTTTTTAAAAAATAGTAAAAAGCTTATGCTCTGATTTTTATAAGTACATTTAATCGTATTGTTTAATTGAAATCAGTGTAATGTTATGGGAAGTTTCTATATCATCGCAATTTTTATACAAGATTCACTTCTTATTATATCAATGGAATTAATAAACGGTATAATAAAGACTATTTTTGGAAAAGGAAATACCGAAAACGATGAAACTGTCTCTTCGACTATTTCAACTAATGGACTGTATTCTGCGGTGGGTCAGAGGATCAGACTTCGAGGTTGCGCACACGTAACTCAAAAATAGCGGGCGGATTTTATTTTTAAGAAAGACAGGTTTTACTTCTCAGAGGACTTATTCCACAGTCAAGCTTTACGTGATGGTACTGAAGAAGAGCACCCCTGGTCGAAAACTACGTGGCGCACGTGAATTCCAACAAGACTGACCTTTCGTACCCCTTTATGTACTCGAGGATGAAGTAACTGTACGTGATTTTTATTTGTACCGCGCTCACAATGGATCTACCCCGCGTATACGCGTATTCATCTTGAAAGCTGGATTCTCATACGTGATCGCTACCCGATTTTGCGCTGCTCGGTCATCCTTCTTCTTTAACCCTTGGATGTACGTGCACGTACATAGAAAATGTTATTAGATGGTGCAGACATTTTATACATTTAGTTATGAAGAATTGAGATTGAGAATAGATTCAAAAGAAACATCTACTATTTAAAAGTTACAGTTGCAGATAATAAGAAAATACTTTAATTGAAAAATTATATCAATCTTGTACTAATTATTGAGAGGATAAGAATGAACCAGATATTGAATTCTTATCTCTAAACTTCCGCATTGAATCCAAGAACTGAGACGGTCGAAAACTAAGTTTTTAGTTCCGGTTAGATTACGTGACATGAGTGTTTGATCAAGTTCCAAAACCGACCTTCGAAAACTTGTATTAGATACCGTAGAACACGGATACGCAATGGAATACGAATTACCACTAACATGATATGAAACAATTGGTTGTAAACATTGTAACTGTAACTATAACGTTACTATATGTAACGTTTATATCGAGTAACAGTATTATATCGTCCAATACATCATTTGCATCTAATGAAGCAATCTGCAATATTGGCGAAAAGCCAGCAAATATTGCTATACGCGATCGTGTTTGGGAAGATCAGATTAGCTGCTATGACATGGACGTGAAAATTTGCTCTCAGGATTTGCAAAAATCATTTTCAAGCCCAGTATCATTTACCAGAATATTTCTGATTTATCAAACGACAGATTTTGGAATACAAAATAAAAAATAACATCAGTATGGTTATCAGATTTCTGCAAAGAGATACGATAGAGTGAGCGTGCTTGACACGAAGCTCTTATAATGAAGCGCCTTTATTCAAAAAGCTATCGTGATGTGCAAGCTGGTCTCCAAGCGACTTCTTCCATACTCTAGACAATTATCATTGGACATCAAGCGATTAAGATCAACGACGACGTACGTACTCGTCCCGAGTATCAATCGTGCGCGTACCTACGTGTATCCGTGCCCGTATCAACGATCAACGTTTCTATTATTTGATTTTTTGCGATAATCCGCGGACAGCAACGTGATCCTCGCAATCGTGAAATCCAACTCGTAGGCCTTGGCTAACTCTTATATGGAACGCAGCGTCCGCGCCGGGCGCAAGAAAGTGTATCCGAGAAATTCAATGATATTCACCTAGAGAAGAAACTCGTTCCCGTGGACGGAATATGAATGAGACGTCAGGAATGACCCAATGAAAAAAGAAAGATCTTTAAAGTCTTTCTTTACTCCCGTCTAGGATTTCATTCGGAATGGGATCGAGAGAATTCGAAACCCATTCCTACCAACTTCACGAAACCTATCATTGGATTACGTAATAGTCCTCAACGATTTATCACCCTGCAGCTCCTTCTCCTTGGGTAAGATCCTTCTCTCAAGAATTTCGAAAATCTTTCAATGAAGGAATTTCTTACCTTCCAGAGGTGCGATCGACTGGGAATACAATGATTTTCTCTCAACTATAAATCCTCGATCCAAGATATTTGTGTAAGATTTTATTGAAAATAATTTGAATTCCTTCATGCATACAGTGCAAAATACTTCATAATATAGGTAGTCTGATTTCTATCGCCGAGTTATTATAAATGATACAAGATTCGTTATAGCTTGAATTTTTTATCAACAGTTATGTCATGACTTGTCCACATCGGGAGTTCGTTTGAGCAGCGACGACCCTCGATATTCAGCGTCTCATCTCAACGAATGCAGTCGCCAATTAGCCGCCAGGTAGTGCGGGGGTCATAATTCGTTCCTCATATTTCCCCCTTTATCCAGTTTCGCGAGCTTTTGTACCGGTGGTTCGCGCAGCGTGCAGCCGAAACAAAAAGCGAAAGATGAACGTTACCAAAAAGAGCTCGTTGGTACACCAGAAGGAGTAGCTGGTCCAAATGAAAGAAGAGAAGAAAAAAAAGGGAAAGAAAGAAACGATGCTGGACGTCGTTTCTTCCAATGCATAAGCGTGCCTTCGTACAGGTATTAACCTCCCTCTCGTTTACCCTTTCTCCGTTCTCTCTCTCTCTCTCCTCTGCTCTCCTTCCCTCTCTCTCTCGCGTTTTCGCTCTTGCTATAGTCATCGGATTCTCTTTTAGGAACCGTGCTAAGACTGCCAGATGAAAGTATATAACCGGTTCGCAGCTGCAGCCAGACTGGAGACTTGGAGACTGGGCATCGGCCGGCGAGCAACAACCACACACCATGGCACATCTCCACTGGCACACACCATGGCGCCAGGGGCGGATTCACCATTCCGGTTGTTACATACACGAACCGTGTGCATTTCGAAACTTTTAATACTATCGACCATTCGAATCGATCGTCGCGGTTCTCGCCGAGATCGTTTGTAAGGCGAAATGAAATTTTCCTTGACGAATGGCTCGCAATATGGACCTCATCTGGCAACCGTTTATGATAGATTCTATCTATAGATACTAATCTAGATTGAACATTCTTAGTATCATTTTTTGAAAGTGTTTCACATTAAAATTCTTTAGAAATATTATATTAACAATAATTATAGAATTTTATAATAATGCAAGTGATAAGGTTTCGAGAAAATGAACATTAAGCTCGAAGGACAGTTTTATCTTTTATTTATTTTTTTACAACGATGACAACTTCACATTTTTAATTTACGATTCAATGGCGCTTAATAATCTATAATCAACCTAATAACTATAGTACAAAATAATACGTATAGGTATAATAAGGGCTTTCACACTTGGGACAGATATGTAAGAATCTAACATAATGCGACGCTATAATATTGAAGCAATTCTTACAATGTAAACGTTTCCTGGAGCAATGCCGATAAATTGTGGGTTACAACTACAGGCGTTTCGCGAGTGCTACGGAAACGGTAGCCCGGGTAGCCCAATAATCGGTGGCCTCGCATCGTATATACCTAATGAAATGGTGTTTTATCACGCATCAGTACAAACGATCGCACACCGACAGAAGCCGCAGAATAATAATGGAGCGAGAAGAAATAAATATAGTACGCGGCAAGTTTTCTCTCCTCTGCTCTCCTTCCCTCTCTCTCTCGCGTTTTCGCTCTTGCTATAGTCATCGGATTCTCTTTTAGGAACCGTGCTAAGACTGCCAGATGAAAGTATATAACCGGTTCGCAGCTGCAGCCAGACTGGAGACTTGGAG